TATTATGTATCATATAATATATGATATTATATTATAATATCATGCGGTGGAATCAGGCGCTCGTCAGTTTTGGGGCACATACAGCTATTGGTAGCATCTTAAAGCTTGTTCATATTCTGTCTTGCTTTTAGTGGAAAAAATACCTGTTTGTCTTGAACAGAAGTCGAGACATCTGCCTAAGAAAGAGGTTGGTGTCGCGTCATGTAACAGTAACAGGTAAAAGTAGCGCAAAAATGGCAGCCAAAGTTTTGTGAATTCCAAAGCTTGAGAGTTTTCGGGAACTGCAACTGTTCCTATCTTTGTACCTTTGGTCAGGGGTTTCTTTTTTTTTTCTTTTTTTTTTCTTTTCTTTTTGACTTTTTTATTGGGAAAATCCACGCTGAAATGTGTTTTAAATGGACATAAAATGTTTTGAGAAAAATGTTTATGAAAAGAAGGAAAATTCGAAAGAAAAAAAATGTCAAACGTGCCGAAAAATGCCTGTATCTTTGATTTCATGATTTTGACGAGTGCCTGATTTCACCACGATGCATCAAATCTAAGATGATGGGCGTGACTTACAAGCGTTAAGAGGCGTTAAAACCATCACCAAAGACTCCTGCTCGCAGCATTTTCCTGTTCATTCCTCAGACCATCATAGGGTTAATGTTGTCCTAGTTTTTCATCTCAGACTATCATGGGGTTAATGCTGTCCAGTTGTTTTTTTAGACGACCATAGGGTTAACATTGTCCTGTCTTTTTCCTCAGAATGTCATTGGCTTCATAGTGTGCTAATTTATCCGACCGTCATAGGGTTAGAATTGTCTGTTTATTCCCCAGACTATCTTTGGGTTACTGATGTCCAATTTCTTCACAGACTACCATAGGGTTAATGTTGTACTATTTTACCACTGACATTAATGTTGTCTATTTTTCCTATATCATAGGGTTAATATTTCCTGTTGGGGTTTTTTTTTCACCATAATGTTGTCCTATTTTTTCCTCAAACGATCATGGGGCTAATGTTGCCCTATTTTCACCCAGACCATCATAGAGTTAATCTTATCCTGGTTCTTTTTTTACTCATAGGGTTTATGTTCTGGGTTTTTTCTCTTGCCGTTATGGGGTTAATGTTGTCCTACTATTCTCCTCAGCCGGACGTATTACGTCATGATGGGCGTGTCAGATCTCAGGGACTCCAGAAACCCCTACCTGCAGCTTATTCAAGTGTCCCGGAAGTACATTGTAAGTCATCTCTCTCTCTCTCTTTCT